GGCTCTGGCTCTGGCGCCTGGTGCTGGAGGGAGGCAGGGCCTTACAGGACCACCTCGGGGGCGATGCTAAACAGGAGGTCATCGTTGCCCCGCCGCACCTCCAGCAGCAGTGGGGACTCAGTCAGGACAGCCTCCTGCAGCTCGCTGGAGTCCACCAGGGGGCGCCCGTTGACCTTGACGATGATGTCACCATCTTGGATGCCTCCTCTGCCAGTGGAGAGACACAGGGTGACTGCACAGGCTCAGCTGGGACACATGCACAGTGGGCAAACAACGGGGCTGTGGTGACCAATGTTCTTTGGGACTTGACGTTTCGGAGAAAGCAAGGCTCTGTCTCATTTGACCTTGCAGAGTCCCAGGGTAGAGATCGTAGGCAGAGCCTCCTCTGTCTCCAGGGGAGGACTGAGGCTGCTCCCTGGCTGGGGACCATGAGACTGGAGGTGGCTCTCAGCCCAGGCTGGGACTCCTCAGCCTCGCTTCCTGAAGGAAAGGCCACTCGGGGCCGGGATGGGCACAGCCAGTGCTCTAAGGGACAGTTAAGCTCACCCACCGTCCCTCGGCACAGGGGAGAGGTGGGGTCCACCTGTCCCTTCCATGTGACTCTGCCCAAAAGCTCAAGGTCACGGAGCTCAGTGGGGAGGCCCAGCGCAGGCCCTGGGCACCCGTGCCACCCGCCGGGATGTCAGCTCATCTCCCCTCAGCCCCTGCCCGGCCAGCAGAGCCTACCTCTGTGAAGGCGAGTTGGGAAAGACCTCCTGCACGTAAATGCCACTGCTGATGGCTGGGAAGTCCGGGTTGCTGGCCTTCAGCTCTTCCACCAAGCTGAAAAGGAAGCGCGGCCATGAGGCCTCCTATGAGTGCCTATGCCAGCTCCTGGGCACGAAGCTGCCCCTTCCCGCCACCGCCCAAGGCCAGAGGAGCAGCCCCCTGGCTCCCATGCTGCCGCCCCCCCCCGCCAAGACTCTGTCCCCACCAGATGTGCTTGGGCACCTCAGGGGAAACTCAGCCCCAGAGCACGGTTGGGGGGTGGGGGTGGGTGGGAGGAAGGAGAAGCGTGGACGATCAGCGGACGGACGGGTGTACAGATGCAGGCATGGAGGATCCAGGGACAGAGGGAAGCGGGGAGTGGACAGTCATGGCTCCCTCGTGGAAACCTTGGGCTTGGCTTTGGCTCCCTCCCTCCTCCCTTCCTCTCCTTCCTCTCGTTCGCTGTTGCAGCACTTGCTCTGTACTTGTCCTAGCAGGGTCAGGCAGAGGATGGGCCGGGCGCCCTGGTCAGCCCGACAGCTCAATGCCAAGTAGGCGGGGTGGGCGGGGCGGGGGTGTCTCACAGACAGACACTCCCCACAGGGTGGACCAGGGCGTGCAGAGAGGGGCAGCTCCTCCCAGCTGAGAGTCCCGGGTGGGTAGACCACTGGTGTCCCTTCAGGTCATGCGCACCCCAAAGCCTGGAGCATGGCCTGCTTGACAACAGGGTCTTTGCAGGTGCAATGAGTTAAGGATCTTGAGATGAAGTCATCCCGGACCTAGGGTGGCCCCGAATCCAGTGAATGGTGTTTTAGGAGGAGGAACACGAGGGAGAGATGGACTCAGACATGCAGAGAGGTGGTGGGCACGTGGAGACAGAGGCAGGGCCCAGAGTGAGGTGACTCAGGCAGAGGATGCCGGGGGACACCGGGCAGGGGGAGGCAGGCAGGTCGGCACAGGCTTGTGCCCCCAACAACTGTGAGAGACTATATCTTGGGTCTTAGAGCCACCAAGTATGTGGTGATGCATTGGGACGCAGGAAATGGGTCCTGGAGGAGGAGCAGGAGGAATCCACCAGGTGAGGCAGGCCCAGGCGCCTGAGTGGAGGCCCAGCTGGGCACAGGTCTGGAACTGCAGACAGGGACGGAAGGAGGGCATGGGCAGAGGCACAGGCGGCCCTGCCGCTCACCTGGGCGTGATGGTCCGCATTCGGATGCCGATGAAGCGCTTCTTCCAGTCTGGAAGGAGATAGCACCGCTAGGTTAAGGCTGCCTGAAGAAAGCCACCCGCCCCTGGGGATGGCACAGACACTGCTGGGGACAGCAGGAGGCGTCCTGCCTGGCCACCCAGCCCTGCCTGCCGGCCACCTGTCTGGCTCTGCTTCCAGGGGCCACCTCTCTCAGCCCTGCAACCCCTCCGGCCCGGAGCCTGCACCCCCAGCTCCACCCCAGCCCCAGATCCGGCAGGGCCCCCCCAGGGCCCGGCTGCTGCTCCCGCATGCCCTTGCTCAGAACAGAGCTCACCACCGTGCCCCCTACCAACCCTAATACAACCGGGTAACGCCCCTTGAGTGAGCGCCCTCCGTGGAGGAGCCTCTGCCCCACCGCCCGCCAGAGCTGCAGCGGGGACTTCGACACGGACACGCCCTGCTGGCTCCGAACCACACAGTGAGACTCGGCACGTTTAGTGTTCGCGTCACATACGTTTTCTGACCACAATGGAATTAAACCAGAAAACAATAATACAAAGATGTCCAGGAAAGTAATAGCACTAAGAGGCCGGTTAGAAAAGAAGGTCTCCAACCTCAGCTTCCCCCTTAAGAACTAGAAAGAGAAAGTCTAAGGGGACCCAGGTACGAGGGAGGGAGGAGACAATAAAGATAAGAGGGTGAATGGGGGAAGTAGAAGCAACAGGGAAAATAAACGGAGACCAAGAGCGGATTCTTCGAGGTCATAAAACCGGTACATCTTTAGCTGGTGTGACACAGGAGGAGGAAGCGGGGTGTGTCGCAGGACACCCCGTGGCCGGTGCATCAGTGGCCAGGAAGTGCCGAGCGCCTGACCCCACACAAAGCCTCTGTCCCACTGGCGCGGCTTGCAGAGCTCACTGGGGAAGAAACAAGCACCCGGAGCAGCCCGCTTCCATTGGAGACTTCGCATCTGTGCCTCAGGGTCTCCCCAGATGTCAGGCCACCCTGTCACTGGAGCCCCGGGCCGGCTGATGAAGGAGGAGGCGGTGGGGGGCTGTGATCTCCAAACCAAAGGCAGAGGGAACAGCATCCCGCATCCACCGTGAAGGCAGACAGAATGCAGCTTTGAACACTGTCAGCAAATCAAACCCGACAAAACCTAAAAAGGGCAGCGTGTCAGGCCCAGGCCAGATTTACCCCAGAAACACAGAGGGGCTCGGGGTTCAAAAATCAGCCAGGCCAACGCACTAGCTTATGATCAATGCGGAAGGGCATCAGGACATCGGATAAGGTCACCTCTATTCCCAACGGAATGAGGGACGGTGGGGGCTGCTTCAGTCTGCAAAAGGCGTCCATGAAAACCTAACGTGGCATTTAAAGTTGAAAGACTGGCTCTTTCCTCCCCAAGCTCAGCACCTGGACAAGGATGTCCCCTCTCCACTTGAGTTTCCTGTTTTCTAGAAGTTTCAGACAGACAAGAAAAAAAAAGGCATTCTGATTGGCGTCGAAAGGGGAGGGATCGAGTTGAACCTACAAAAGAGTACTGGAACCAGTAAGTGATCAAGTCTGCAGGACATCTCGTGATCCACACCCAAAGACCAATTTTATCTGTACATTCTCGTGTTGACCATCAGAAATTGACCCGTATATTCAAAGTAGGAAGGAGGGCAGGGTGGCCCACACTTGTAATGAGGCTGAGCCAGGAGGATCCTACGTTCCAGCCTAGCCTGGGTAACTTAGTGACACAGTGAGACCCGGTCTCAAACTTCTAAAAAGTGAAACGGGCTGGGGAAGTGGCTCAGTGCAGGGCCTTGGGTTCAATCCCTGTACCACAAAACATAAACAACAAACAAAACAGCGTAAAGCCAGAGACAACACTACAAAACAACTGAGAAAAGCAAGCAAAGACCCAAGGGAGTGGGGAGTGCCTCTGGGCAGGGTCCTGAACCAACCCGCAGGGGTCTCCTGGAAGTCTTCACTCACCGGTCAGAAGAGCCAGCACTGTTAAAATGCCAATCCCCCCACCAAATTTTCCTATAGATCCAACGAAACCCCCACCAAAATACCAGCAGACTTTTAATTTTTTTCCTAGAAACTGAAGAGCAAATTTCTTTAGAAATGCAAGAGATGTAGAAGAGTCGGGAAAGGAGAACAGGGTTGGAGGGCTTACAGGGCCTGCCATCAAGGTTCCTGCACCAGGCCTGCGCCTCCGAGGCAAACGCACAGCACAGACTTCTGTCTACTCTCTGCCCTGTTTAAAACTGCACTAGTGTCACAGCCCTACACACGGAGGCCACAGAGAAACACCTTGGGTCTCAAAGGTCGCTCAGACACAAGTCTAACGCCCGCTCGCTTCCAGGAACCCAGGCTTCTTAGCCACTCACATAACCTCGAGGTGGTGCGGCTCAGAGGGCAGCACTCGATCGAGTGTGGGCCTGGGCTCCGCAGTACCGCCAAAAAGGAAAGGAAGAAAATGTTACAAAAGCTGTTTTTCCAAAACACCCCTGCCCCTGCTGGGCACTGGGGGTGGAAGCCAGGGCCTTCACACTGAACTTGGTCCCCAGCCCTAGGATACATTTTTTATTTAGACACTAAGTTGCCCGGGCTGGGCTCAAACTTGTCATCTTCCTGCGTCTGCCTCGGCCTCTGGTTTGGACGGGACGCCGGTCAGAAAGCATTCAGCACTCACTTGTCTCAGTAAGAGCCCTACCTATCAGTACACAGGACCCCCCAACTCACTGGTAAGAACATCAGCAACCTCCAATTTCTCAAAGACAAAATACCTAAACAGACTTCAGTGAAAGAGAAGTCGACCGGCTGGGGGCACCCTGGGGACTGGTCCCCCGCAAAGCCAGGGCAAGGGCAGGCCCTGCAGGCGGGAGGATCCCAAGTTCAAGCCCAGCCTGGACAGCTTAGGGAGACCCTGTCTCAAAACAAAAAGGGCCAGGTAGGCAGCTCAATGCGAAGGTGCTGGGTTTAAGTCTCAGTACAGGGAAAACACCAACCCAGTAGCAAGGTGCAGCATTCAAAGCCTGGAGACCTGGGAGCACTCCGGCCGAGGGGCGGGGCACCGGCGGGCCCCCCATCTGCATGGGCCCCTTCCTGTCCTGCCCTTTGGCCCCCGGCTCCCGCACACCCACCTTTCTGTAAACGCTTGCCCAGCTTCTAGCTCCACCTGCACCCTGCGGGTCCCTCAGCCTCTGCTCCCCAAAGCTCCCGGCCCTACAGCACCACACCCAGCAGCATCCATCTTGGCGGGGGCTCCTAGGGTCTCTCCCCATGGCCTACAGGGGCACAGGCTACAGGGCAGGCACCAGCGCCTCTGCTGTGGTCCTGCAGGTGAGGAAGTGGAGGCGGGGCAGGGAGAGGCCGGCTTGGGCATCAGGCCCATGAAGGGAATAAGAGATGCCTACAGCATCCGAACACCCATGTTCACCACAGTGCAGCTCACAGTAGCTAAACCTTGGAGGCAGCCTAGGTGTTCATCCACAGGTGAATGGATGAAGAAAATGTGGTATCTCCACATTGTGGAGTACTACTCTGCCCTGAAGAAGGATGAGCTTGAGTCATTTGTAGGAAAAAGGATGCACCTGGAGACCGTGTTACATGAAATAAATCACTCAAGCTTAAATGTCCCATGGTTTCTCTTATACAAGAAACTCAAGTTATAAATAAAGAGCAAAATAAAAGATGGATAAAAGGAAATAGATCTTTTGCAAATGCTCAAGAAGTACCCTTCACATCTCCTTGACTCCATAAAAGATTGTTTTAAAGAATTTTAGATTAACTGGGTTTGGATCATTTGACATTTTTATTAAAAAAAAGAAAAAGAAAAGCAAAATCAAACCCCAGCTTCAGGAGAATTTTAAACCTATAGATCTGTTATTTGGCGAAGACCCGGGGCCCTCCAGCTGTCCCGGCTGTGCCTGGGGAGGGACTCTGCTCTGGCGGGAGCATCCCCAGGGGCCAGGATGAGGTCACAGGGACGGGGCAGTCCCTGGACACATGGCACAAACCCAGACCCCCAGGGCGACTGTCTGAGGGGAAAGAGAAGGGTAAGGAGACCAGCACCCCATTTCTATGCCAAGGTCACCCCAGCCTGATAGCCCCAGCGGCTTCTAGCACCCAGGGGGCTGAGGCGAAGGCTCAGTCCTTAGAGAAGGGAAGCAAGGGGCAGCCTGGGTCTGGTAAGGAGCTTCCTAGCAGCCAAGAGGAAAAGGGCTGGAGGGCAGATGACCCCACTGTCCAGCAGGAGGCGCCATCAGCTTCTCGGGAAGCACAGGCCCGGCCTGGCTGAGGCTGGCTTCACTGGGGCCTGGGGTCCTCCATGGCAGTTCTTCCTACTGCCAGTCCTCACAGCGCTGCTCTGGGCTGCCCTGGGCTCCGAGTGCTTGGGCCTGGGGTCCTGGAGGAGGGTGGGCCTGAGGAAGCCCTGCGTCAGTGCAGTGCCGGTGAGGGGGCTGGAGGAGACACGGGAGGGCGTGTGAGGGGCAGGCGGGAGAGCCCGGGCGGGTGGAAGGGCCAGCGCCGCCAGGAGGAGGGCTGGGCCAGAAGTGTCCCGCACTCTCTCTGGGAGGGGCCCTGAGAGCTGGCAAGCGCGCTGGGGTCAAATGGGCGGGGTGAGCGGACGAAGCCCCAGCAGGGAGACTCCTGAGGTCAGCACGCTGGGCCCCTGCCCCGGGAGGAGGGGAGCCCCACAGAAGGGCTGGCTTCCTGGCACGGGTCACTGACTGGGCTGCATGGGCCACAGGCTGGGGGAAGGGGTGCCGGGGGTCGGGGACGGGAGGAGGAGGGCACAGAGGGAAGGGAAGAGGCCTGGGGTGGGTGGACGGACAGACGGACAGCTGAGTGGCTGGGTGGACGGTCGGGGGCAGGAAGGGAGCACCAGGTACTGACTTCCAAGGAACAGGCCAGACAGGGGCACTGGGAGCCGCGATCAGAGACCTCAGCCACAGGAAGCCGTGAGGACAGCGGTGAGCACAGCCTCAGGCCCGGGAGGCAGAGGGGCCTCATCCAGCACTGGCCGCCTCACCCGCCCCAGGTGAGCTCGCACCTTTGCTCTGCTTGTCCTGGAACTCGGACAGGAAGCGCGTGATGCGGTCGGAGGGGATGGCGAAGGAGATGCCGGCGGTGACCTTGAGGGTGTTGATGCCGATGACCTCGCCGTCCTGGGCAGGGCGATGGGGGGCCGGTCACTGGGAGCCCACAAGGCGCGGTGTCCGAAGTGCCCCTTCCCACGCCCACACCGCTGTGGATGCCCTTGCCCTTACTTTGAGCAGCCCCAGCTGTCCTGAAAGGGGTCTTTGCAGGGTCACAGCTGCTCAGTGAGCCCCCTTCCTGCTGCGACCCCAAACCCTAGGGACTCCCCGCTCTGTCCCTGGAGTTTCAGGAACGCTCATGGCTCTGCCCCACCCCCAGGCCCCAGTGGCACCCTGCGCGGGGCTAGTGCTGCCGCCCCCCACCTCACTAGGGAAGGAGCCCCTCCCCAGCCTGCTGTGCACCTCAGACCTGAGCCCCAGCCACAGCAGGGTCTGCATGGCCTGGGGGCCAGCCTTCGACAGGCTCCTGTGTCCCCCCCGGTCCCTGCAGCTCTGAGGTGGGAGGGCCAGGCTAGCAGAGAACCCAGGGGCCAGAGATTCTGGACCTGCTTCCCTGCATGTGCGGCTGCCTCCTCGGCCCGGCTCCTGGGGCAGCACAGGGGGGCCCAGCCCCATCGGGACGGGGGCCACCAGCCGCCTCCCTGACGCCCAGCCTGGCTTCTGCAGCCATGGGCCCTGCCGAGCCTCCGGGGCCTCCTAGGGTTCCCAGGCTCCCCACCCTCCCTGTGCCTCCAGGACGTCCTCCCTGCCCACAGCAGCTGCCAGGGCCATCGCAGGCTGCTCCTGTGGTCTTGGCTGTGGCCCCCGCCACCTCCCCTCCAGGAGAGGCCCGAGGCCAGGACTCCACCTGGGGCCTCAGGGCCCTGGAGCTGGAACTAACTCCCTGCTTTGTCCTGGGAAAACCTCTCCTGGGATGAGAAGGAGCCTGACTTTGGGGCCCAGGGCAGAACTGGGACAGTGACCAAGGGGGGACAGAGAGGGTGAGGGGCCCCTTAGCTCCGGGTAACCCTCTCATCTCCACAGGGGGTCCCGCGGTGACAGCCTGCACCCCCTCCCCTGTCCCAACCCACCCGGGCCCGGGCAGGCGCTGCTCTCAGTCCTTGTTCCGGGGAGCCCAGGCACTCGAGCCTTGGGCACCCCCCAGGCCACTACAGCCCCAGCTGTCGGCCCACAGCTTCCAGGGCCTCCTGTCCCCAGCGTTGAGGCCGTGCCCATGTGACCAGACACTCAGGGTCTGGGGGACACTCACCAGGTTCACCAGGGGTCCCCCGGAGTTCCCGTACTGCAAGGGGAGGAAAGGGCATCAGCTGTGGCCGCAGCCCTCTGCAGGCCCCTGGCCCCCGCTCCAGCCCATTACGAGCTGTGCCTGGGATCCGTGCCTGGCAGCCACAGCGCCCAGCCCACGTCTCGGCGGGGACAGCAGAAGCCAGGGACAGCTTCGAGGACGGGGCCAGAGCTTCGAGGCCCTCGTGGCGAAAGCACAGGCTTCGGCGCCTCTGGCCCTGGGGAGTGTCCTGCCCGCTGGGCTCTGCAGACGCTGAGGGCTCCAGCACCGGCACCGTGGGCCTGACAGACACGGCCACGCGCCCGGCCGGGAAGGCTCGGGTGGGGACAGAGCCCGACCCGGGGCACGTGTGCTGTGTGAGGTGACCCTTGTGGCCAGTGGGTGTGTCGGGCGACAGGACAGGGCCCGGGGACAGGGAGCGAGCCCCGCAGAGGCCCCGCGAGGCCTGGGCCTGGACAGCAGTGCCGGTCTCGTTGAGACTCACGTTGATGATGGCGTCCGTCTGGATGTAGTCCATGTCGGAGTCCCGCAGGCCCAGCTCCCGGCCATCCCGCTGGGCGCTGCTGACGATGCCCGTGGTCACTGTGTTCTGCAGGGCGAAGGGGCTGCCGATGGCCACCACGAACTCCCCAGGGCGCAGGTCCGCCGAGTTGCCCAGCAGGAGCACCGGGAGCTTTTTCTGGGGAGGCAGGCGGGGCGGGGCTCAGGCGACCCGGGGCTGGCCGAGCACAGAATGGCCTGGGGCGACCGCCGGGCAGCAGGAGGAAGCTGCCCCGGGCTGCTCACCTTGGGGTGGATCTTGATGGTGGCGATGTCGGCCTTCTTGTCCAGGTCTTTGACGGTGGCCTCGTAGGAGTCTCCGCTCTGCAGCTGCACCTTCAGCTGCTGCCGGCCCGAGACGGCATTGGTGCTGGACACCACGTGGGCGTTCGTGACGATCAGGCCGGCCTCCGACACGATGAAGCCAGAGCCGCTGGTCCGAGGCACGTTGCGGCCAAACAGGGGGTGTCTGCGGGTGGCAGGTGCGGTGCCACTCAGGGCAGGGCATTGGGGCATCGGGTGCAGTGGGGACAGGGCAGACATGCTCAGTGTCCCTGGGGCCTGTGGCCCACTCAGGCCGTGGACCCACTTCCTGGCCATACACAGGTGACCATGGTCCCTGACATGCTTCTGCGGCAGTGACTCAACCCCCGCGACGGTCAGCTGTGGTGGCCACAGCGGGCACTGACAGCCCTGACTCTGGGCACCCCAGCCAGACGCACTGGCATTCTGGCCTCTGGGCCACGCCCTGCTGATGGCCTGCCTGCCCCGGGTCTGTGCCTCAGTCACCCCATCAGGGACATGGGCTCAGGGCAGGAACCTCAGTCCCGCTCACAGGTTGGGTGCAGCCCGGAACCTTCTCTAGGGTGGGCACCCACAGACCACACCAGGCCTGGCACAGCGCAGGCTCGAAGCCCCGAGGCTAAGCAGGATGAGGGGGAAAAGGACCCAGAGGCTGCACCATGAGAGAGGAAGACCATGCGGGCGGAGCATCCGGCACGGGCAGGGCCAGGGGTGACAGCCTGTGCCCCGAGTTCTCCCCTGGGCCAAGCGTGAGCTCCCTGGGGTCACATCTGGGACGGGTCCTCCCAGGTTACAGTGGGGCTGTGCTAGGCCCCACGTTGAGGGCCGATGTCCTCACCCGAGGGAGGCCCAGGCACAGAGCCGGGGTACAGGCCAGGCCGAGACGCGGGCGAGGCGCATCTACAGGCCCGGGGCCCCTAGAAGCTGAGAGAGGCCTGGAATGGACCAGCTTCCGAGCCCCCGACAGGGGTCGGCCCTGCCCGGGCCCTGGCCTTGGCCCAGAATGGGAGACCATGTGGAGTGCTGTGGAGGCCCCCCAGCCCCAGGAGCCTATGCAGTCCCTGAGTCGGGTCCCTTAACGGAGGGGGAACTGAGGCCTTGAGTCACTGAACTACTCTCTGGGCTGGGCGGGCGGGCACAGGGCAAGCGGCCTGCAGCCAGGCTCCCGTGCTGGGGTGCCTCACCCCCCTCGACTGTCCCCTCAGGCCGAGCTGCCGGGATCAGCTGGCTCCTGACCGGTGCCCAGGCCTCCCAGCCACCAGAAGGCTGGCGACGTGCCACCTGGTGCAGCCAGCTGTAATTTCCTCGGTGCCACATCTCAGGGAACCAGGCCCCGGGGGAAGTGCAGGGAGGGTGGCCCTGGCACAGGGGTGTGCTTGTCCTGGGGGCCTGGGCATCTTCAGACCTCGGCTTCCCCCTCCCTGAAGTGGGAGCCACACTCAAGGGAAGACGGGGCCGTGAACCAAGGAGCAGAAAGGGCCCTGGGGAGCAAGCAGGGACCCTCCGGGGTTGAGTCCCGGTGAGCCTGGCTCCCTCCTCGGGGGTGGGCGCCCTCTGGCTGCAGCAGGCCCTGGAGGAGCCCCCGGGGTGGGGCCTGGGCTCCGTCCCCAGCAGGGGCAGAGACACCCACGGACAGATACGCCCCAGGCTCTCGGCTCCAACAAAGGAGCCGGGCAGCCGGGCTCCTGATCCCAATCAGGACAAGTGGGCTCCCACCCGACGCCTCTCACTGCTGCTGGCTCCATCCACACCCAGGGCCCGGGGTGCAGCTCACACTTCTTGCCTGTGCTATGGGGCTCGGTCACCGTGGAAGGGACCAGGACCCACGTGAGCGGCAAGGCCCATGTGTTCTGGGCCTGGGTATGGGGATGTGAAGGGGGCATCAAACACCCCAAGAAGCTGCAAGAGACTTGGGGGGCGAGGCAGGGACCCCACATACCTCAGAAAGAGCTCGATGTGGACCACAGCAGGCGCGATCTTCTCTACCACGTCAGCGATGAAGTTGAACTTGTACCGTGGGCTGCTCACCTGGTGGAGACCTGCACTGGCCAAAGAACCAGGCGCGTGAGGGGCTGAGCCCTGGGGACCCCGTGGGCCTCAGGAAGGGGGCTCCTCTCCCAGGAAAACGGCCTCAGAGGGCCGCGTCAAAGCGCCCTTCTGGGGCTCAGGGAGGTCAGGACTGGAGCCCTGAGCTGCAGGGTGGATCTGCAGGCCCCTGGGTGGATGTGGGGTCTGACAGGGCCCACAGGACCCCTGGTCCCCCTTCCAAGCCACCCTGGCCCTGCCACAGTGCAGCACTGGGCTGGCCACTCCGTGCTCAGGACTCTGCGCCCCACCTTCCCCGGCTCCCCAAACTCTGCAGGGCAGGGGCTGGGCCCCCACACTGGACCAGGCCTGCCCCCCACCTCACAGTCTGGGGCTCAAGCCCCCTGCCCAGGCCCCAGCAGGAGGAGGAAGCCACCCGGGCTGCGCAGTGGGGCTCTGACCTCCAAGACGTGCACACCACCCCGAGACACTTCTCACCACCCAGGGGCCTGGGGGATCCCGGAACCCCGGTCCTGCTCCGCCCCATGCGCTCTGCTGGACAGGTGTCCAGGGACGCCCAGTCCGCGGCCAGTGCCACCGTCCACTAGGGTGGCCTCTGTCACATGGCCACACCCACCCCGCTCTAGAGACGCCAGGGCCAGGCACCCGGTCCCCGTGTGGCGCCTGTGATTGCCTTCCATGTGCTGACCTGGACACGAGGGCCACGGTGAGAGGGACAGGCCAGTGACCGCCAGGGGCAGCACAGCGCGTCTCCGAGGGGAGACAGGGATACAGAGATGTGGACCAGGCCCGGGAGTCCCTGGGCTGAGTGCGGCCCAAAGGCTGCCCGAGTGGGGCCTGGGCCATGGTGACTGCTGCGGTTGGAAAGCGGAGGAAAACGTCCCTCCCAGCCGCGCTGAGCAGGCCAGGCCGCTCCTCGTGGGACCTCAGCCGGGAAGAGCATCTCCGCCGGGCCCAGCCGGCCCCAGGGACCTGGACGCCCACAGCCGCCCTGGACCATCTGCTCGGCTGGAGTTCAGAGGACCGGACCCCCCACTCCGTACTTGATGACCCGGAAAACATCTGGCAGGACACGGAAGTGGCCCGGGCTGACGCTCGGGGCTGGGGCTGAGGGCAGAGTGGGTTCCCTCGTCACAGACCCCTGGGTTTCTGCCAGTCAGTCACGGGCAGACGGGGCTGAGAAGGGTGAGCTGAGAGGGGCCACAGGCTGGGGTGCTGTGCCCAGCACACGGGAGGGCCACAGACCACCCACCAGGAAGGGGGTCCAGCAGCGGGAGAGGCCCATTTTACAGCCGGGGAAACTGAGGCTGGGAGCCCCGTGTCCTCCCCAGGGACAACAGGCCTGACCGTGGCCTGGGTAGGGACAGGGAGGCTGAGGATCCCGAGGCCTGGCCCTTTAAGTCGGCACCAGCGGATGAGTCAGGGTGAGTCAAGCCGGCCCGGGCTGGGAGGCAGACAGTTTATTTGGGGTTTGGAGAACCCCTCCTCCATGCCTCCGCCAAGGCTCCGAAGCCAACTGCGGTTCGTATTTTTTTCAAAAACAAACTCAAGTGGAATCCAAAGGCCCTGGCAGTTGGGTCGGGAGAACCTGACACAGAGCAATGAGGCCAGGTGTCCAGGGACGCTGCCCGGGAGAGGGAGGGCACATCCAGGGTGGAGGGGAGAAGCCAGGTCTCCTGCCCTGAGGTCCATGTGCTGCCTGCCAACAGTCATAACTGCCATGGAAAGAGAGGGAAACCAAAGCCCACAGCGGGAACATGAATGAGGAAGACACCCCCCCGAGTCATCATGGACAGCTGCAGAGGTTTTGCACTGCCCAACTCTAGGAGCTTTATTAACAAAGATCAGCCTGGTCCACTTCCCTTGGAGTTGCGCAGTGCTCAACCTGCAGAACTGCATGCTTCAGTCCCCCTAGCACAGGACTGAGCCGCAGTTCTGCTCCGTGTGTTTGGCTACTTGGGTGAGTCCCCACTGTGCTTCCTCCGTGAGGAGACCTCACAAGGCGCCTAAGTTCTTTGCACTCGGTTTCCTTACTGGGACTCGGGTAGCGGTGGCCCTGTTCGCTGCCCCTGGCAGTGGGTGAGGGAATGGCTTCCAAGCGCAGTGGCGGCAGAGGAACTCCAGCACCAGGGTGTGTGTGAGGGAGCAGCACTGGCCGGGGACACCCCCTTGCTGTGCTGGGGCCCAGGCTGCCTGGCTGGAGCTCACAGCAGGAAGGAGGACTTCCTGAGGAGGGGCCTGCCGGGCCAGACCGCCCCACCCCAAGCCAGCCCCGAGGTGGGCTCAGCGCTGGATCCAAGCCCAGGCCTGGTGGAGCTGGCTCTGTGCAGGGCCCGGTTGGTCGGCGGGGCCTGGCTGGGCCCCCCAGGTCCCCTGACCCCTCTGGGCATGTCCTCCCCGGTGAAACCTCCGATTCCTGCCCGAAGAACTTTGGCCAGAATGCAGAGAGGTCACAGTGCCAGGCGTCTGCCTGGTGTCCACCCCCTCACCTCACCGCCTGTAAGGGGTGGCCCCGCTGTCAGGCCAGGTGCTGCCCTCCTCTGCCCTGGTCAGGACCTGGCCCGAGGGTCGAGGACAGCAGCTGCCGCCTTGGGACACACAGCTGGACAGGAGCTGGCCTTCACAGTGGGCACGGGTCACTCGGGGACAGGCGAGCGTCCCAGGAGGAGGAGCCGGCGGCCTGGGAATGGAGGGAGGCAGCTGCGCGGCTGCAGGGCCGGGCCCAGGACCAAGTGTGCGTCGCCTCTGCCTCCCGCTTCCCGGCAGCCCAGCCTGCGTCCATGGTCACGGCCAGTGCGGCACATGCAGGCTCTGCTTCTGCCACAGCCAGGACTGGCTTGGAGCCCCGGCCACTCCTTGCCGCCTGCTCCAGCTTCCTCACCAGCCAGTGGGGAGGCCCTGTCCTCCGGGTGCCGGGAAGCACAGGGTCCCAGACCCTGAAGGTCAGAGCCCAAGCCCCTGTCCCCTGCATACAGCCCAGGGGTCCCTGAAGCCTCTCATGTGAATCCCCCACCTTTCTCCCCCAGCTGCTCCCCCTGGAGGCCATGTCCTGTCCCGCCCCACGGTCCCCACAGCCGTCCTGGGCCCCGAGCTGTGGAATCCCTGCCAGGTCCCCCTTGCTCAGGGCCTTTGTGCCCTAGCCCGGGACACACCTGTACCGCCTCACCCCTCCTGAACCTCTGCTGGCCGCCCCTCTGCACAGGCCTCCCTGATGGTGTCCCTCACTGTCACACACACCCATCAGGGCTTCCCTGGGGGCCCAGCAGGGGCGGCTTCCCATGCCTCACGCCCTCTCGCTGGGCTCTGGCTCCCACTCCCAGCCTCCGTGCCCCCCACCCGCCGGCCGCAGTGCGCAGGCGCTGAAGCTGGGCCAGGCAGAGGGGACAGGGGACGTGTCACAGTTGGGTGTGCCCATCTGGAGCGCTAGGCTGTGCAGCCCAACACTGAGGCAAGAATCAGATAGCAGAGCCGGGCTCTTAAAGGAACAACAGGGGCGGCACCACAGACCCAACCACCTCGGCTGGACTCACACTCAAAGCCTTCAAGGCTGCAGGCTTGGGCTGGGGGACCCTTCCCTGTGCAGACCTGGCTGTCACCCTGACGGCCACCCCACTGTGAATGTGGAGGGCGCCTGGAGCAATGCTGGACTATGGGGCTTCAGTACCAGGCCTACGAGGCTCAGCATCTGGGCAGGACGCAGGAATGGAGGACAGGCTGAGGAAGAATCGTGAAGCTCTGCCAGCAGGCTGGCGGGGGTCGACCCAGGCACTGTGGCAGGGAAGGCAGCCCAGGAAGAGAGACTGAGGACATGAAGGTCAGGAAGGGAACTGTGGGCAACAGGCACGGCATGTGCAAAGGCCCTGGGGTCAGGGGGAGACTGCTGAGGCTCGAGCTCAAGAATGGGCAGGTGGCGAGATGTGACGTGACATGGCAGTGGCAGCCCAGGGCCTTGTGAGTGTGGGGGAGGCCTTGGAGGGCGTCCTGATGGTGCCAAGCAGGAGAGGATGCCAGGGCCACACTGGCTGCTCGGTAGAGAAGTGATGATGGGGGGAGGTCAGGGAGGACTGGGGTTGGAGACCACGCTGTGACCCCGGCAGCGATGCACCTGTCTGCAGGCCCTGACTCACCAGCACCAGGCCACTCCTGGGGGGTGAGCAGGGGACCAGGAGGAGAGGGGGAGGGCCTCCAACCCAGCAGGGGTCTAGCAATGCCCAGCATCAGCAGCACCTCAGTGCCACAAGGGGGCACCACCCAGGACTCCTACTGTGCCCTTGGCGGTTGGCGCTGCCAGGGAGCAGTGCCCAGGCTGGGCCTGACCCCGGCCAGGTGCCCTGAGGGCACAGCTTTCCCGGCCAGTCCCGTGACCACAGCCCCGAAGCCTTGGCCAGCACATTCAGGGTGCTGGGAAGGGGCCAGGGCTCCATGTGGGGGGCCTGCAGCCCCGTGGCAGCCTGAGTGCAAGGTCCTCATGCCCAGGAGACGGGCCAGGCCACACCCAGTCTCCCTGTGCCTGGTACCTGGGGTACCAGCAGCCCCCGAGGCTGGGCCATGCTCCCGCTCAGGGCAGTCACTCGCCCCTCCCTGCCCGCCAGTCTCTCCCCGCCTCAGGCCTGAGGTGCCAAGCGCTCTGGGACCCTGAGCCTCTGACTCCGCTCTGCCAACACAGCTGCCTGGGCCCCTTATGCCCACCAAGCCCCGGTGTCGTCCCCCAGGGTTGCGCCCTTCCTTGGTCAAGCACAGCGACCTCAACAGCTAGCTGCCTGCAGCCTCGCCCTGCCTGGCCAAAGCCCTGTTCAGCAGTGTCTGCCGCCTGAGGGCCGGTGCCAGGCCACCCTGAACCCTCTGCGCTCCGGGGATGCACTCCAGACCCAGCAGAGCACTCTGTCCTGCCTCAGCCTCCAGCACAGCCTGAGCCCCCGCCCTGTGGCCCCTCACCCAGCTCTGGACCGAAGCTTCTCCTCCAAAGCCCGGGGTGAACCTTAGCATCCGACGGAGGGCACTTAGAGGTGGGGCCTTAGGAGGGGTGAGGCTGCGCGGGTCCCCTCTGGGCCAGGGCATTAAAGCCCCCCGACCTGCTCGGGCTTCTGCCTTCTGCCTTCTGCCCCGTGGGCTCTCGGCCAGGCGCTAACCCTCAGACGCAATGACCCCAGCCTCCCCACCTCCTGCACCAAGCAGCGGGCACACCTGCCAGTACGAGTTCCAAGCCTCAGGGGTTTGTCGGGACCCTGCAAAACAGACGACGACTCCCTGAGCCCCGCTCGTGGGGAGCCCTCTGCGGCCTCCTCCGGGACTCCTCTGATGGACTCGGGCTGGGATCCAAAGCCCCGGAACCCTCATCTTTGGAACAGACAACACCACGGAAGCTCTGACCCCCAGGATGGAGTCTAAGCCCACGACGCTGACGGCCGCTCAGCGTTCTGCCCCTGCCCAGCCTCGGGCACCGGCCCCTCAAGTGCTCCACGCCAGCCAGAGCAGCCTGCCCTTCCCATCCTGGCTCACGAAGCACGCAAAGCCTCCTAGACCTCCCCGCGCCAGAGATTCAAATCTCTGCAGACGCCCTGCCCCTCTTTGGCTCCCCTGGCCCCCCCAAGGTGGTCAGTGCACCCTGAGGTGGGACCGCTATGCAGTCTCGACCCGGCTGCTGCGGGCTGCGGGCGCTGGGTCCTCACATCCTCACAACAGGAACCCAGCCCTGGCCGCGGGGAAGATCCGGCCTCCCTAAGCGGCCCTCAGACAAGGACAGGGACGGCGGTGCCCTCCACCAGGGGCCTGCTCGTGGCCAGGAGCAGCCACTGTGGGTCAGCGCCGGTGGCCGTCCGGGGACTCGGTTCTGTCCAGGGACCCCCACTGGCTGCTCCCATAGGCCCGGAGACCAAGTCTGAACCACAGGCCGGAGGCAAGAAAACACCATGTCAATGCCAGCGGAAGAGCCTGAAGGGCGACGCCAGGAGAGACAGCGCTCAGCCATGCCCTGACCCGGGCCAGAGCACCGAGTCCGCAGGAGCCTGGCGCCCCCCCCCAGCCCTCCGGGGCTCGAACGCCAGCTTCACCCGGCTTCGCTCGGTGCATTCTGCCGCCCGGGGATCAGCATTTACCATCCCGGCCTCAATTTCCCCGCCCGGGAGCCTCGAGGGGCGGCTGCAAGCTCTCGGAGGGCCCCTGGAGTTCAGCCCTCGCCGACCCCAGCGTCGCCAGCCCCCGTACCCCGACCCCGAAGCCCGGGGCGCTTACCCGAGGGGCAGGCGCCCTTCTGCAGCACGCGCACCGGCGTCCCCGACAGCTGCAGCGCGCGGCGGCTGGCGGCCTGCAGAGCGCACACGCTGCCGTGGGTACGGCCGTCCGTGCCACACACCGGGCTGGCCCAGCGGCAGCGGCACACGCCACGCGTGCACTCCAGGCTCTCCCCACACGGGGCGTCCCGCGCGCGGCCGCAGGGCTCGCCCTCGCCAGCAGCGCACACCAGGCAGCAGCTGCAGGCGTCGGGCACGTAGCCGCCGGGGCAGCGCGGGCTCGGGCAGCGCGACACGTCGCAGCGCGAGGGGCAAGGCGTCGCCGGGGGCTCCCGGGCCCGCGCCAGCGCGAGCAGCGCGGCCACAAGCAGGGCGTGCGCGTGCATGACGGGGACGTCGACGCGGGGCTCGGGGACGCGGGGCTCTGACAGAGGGCGGCGCGGGGCTCGGGGCTCAAGCGGGCGCGCTCCCAGAGCGCAGGGCCATGGTGCGGGCAGGGCCGGGGACGCGCTGGCTCACTGGCTCGCTCCGCCGGTCTGCGGGCGCCAGGCCCCGCCGCCTTTAAAGGAGACGCCCGCGCCCGCCCGACTGGAAGGGGCGGCCCGGCCCCGCCCGAGGCCCCGCCCCGAGGCCGGGCCGCCCGGCGGAGGATACTTGGGGGACAGGAGGCCCGGGCGGCGGGCAGGCGGCGGACAGCGGGAGCCTTAGGGGCCGCCCTAGGCCTCGCCATTGAATGGAGTCTAGACGGTACCCAAGGCCGTCCCTAGCCTGCCCCTTCTACTCCTGCGCGCCCCTTAGCAGGGCAGCCCAGCAGGGCACGCGCACAACAGGACAGGCCCCCCTCTCCTGGGTCCCTGACTTCTCTCAGGCTGGAGACGGCCTGTGTGTCCGGCTCTCTGGCTGGCTGTCCGGGTTCCAGGCTCTGTGACGCTGGGAGTTGCCTCAGTTTCCCTCTCCACAAGGAGGATTTCATAGCATGTCCCAGCTCTCAGGCTGCTGGAAGCTGCTTCGGAAACTGTCCCTGACCCTCGGGACTAGCAGCACGGCACCTACCGGAGGTGGAAGCTGGTTCTGTTCCGATGCTTCGACCTGGGCTCTCTGAAGAGCCACCTCGGACTCAGGCCCACGACCGAGGTGCCAGGGCCTCCAGGCTGCTGTGATGAGGTTGCAGGGCAGGAGGGCACTGGCGAACTCCTTTGGAGGCAAGCTTAGGGGCGTGAGGGACTTGTGGCCATGGAGGAGCAGAGTAGCCGCCACCCGGTTGAGGACCCACGCAAAGCACCCAGCAGGGTGGCCTGTGTGGCAAGAGAGCAGACACCATGAGGCTCTCAAAGGCACAAGACACATGGCACAGAGAATGGAAAGGGCAGTTCTGTGGGACACAGAGGTGAGGACCACCTGATGCAGGAAGTCAAGGCGGTCAGCGTGGGAGTGGACAGCTCCAGCATGGCCGCGAGTGGAGATTTCCAGCATTAACCAGCAGGCCTGGGAGCCCAGAGCCAGGCCCGTTCGGCCTCTGCCTCTCTGGGACAGTGCCACAGGTGCCAGGGCGGCTGGGACCTGTCGCCGTGAGGGGTTCAGTTAGAGCCCAGGACTGAGAGTGGCACTGAGGGCTGCAGGGGAGCTGGGGTGAGGGGTTAGGGGAGCAGCCATGAGGCTGGGGTGTCTGGGGGATGGGGGAGGAGGGGCGGGTGGAGCACCGAGGGCTCAGAGATGGAAGACCAGCAGCACGGGGAGCTGGGCCACAGGGAGCGGGCAAAGGGCAGGGCTCCGCCTGCCGAGTCTGGGCCTCTGCAGGTGCTGTGCTTGGGATGACCCGGAGGGACCCTCAGGCCTGGTCCAGCTGGGAGACCTTGGTACAGGCTGGGCTGCTGGCTCCGTCTCTGCAGAGTGGGCTCGGGCCGGGTCCCTCCCCAGTGTGTTTTGGGGCACTGTGGCCCATGGCAGGGTTCGGGGCACCGTCCTGAGGACCCTGGCCCTGCAGGCCATGCTCGTATCTGGGTCTCCAGTGTGCAGACAGATGGAGCCTTGGGAAGGGCAAAGCGCTCTCTTCCGCTAAACTTTTCATCTGCAGATGGGGAAACTGAGTCTGTGTGGCCCCTCACACTTTGTAGGTGAGCTCGGCCTCTGGGCCTGGGGTGCCAGGGCCATCCCCGAGCTCCGCAGGCACCTGGTGGGCTCCCAGGTGGGGCAGGAGCCTCTCACTGCGACCTTGGGGGAGAAGCCGGGAGGGTGAAGGTCGGGGTTTGTGCAGGTGCCCCAGCCCCATCTGACCCCTGGAGCTGCTCTGCCGAGGGCATTTAGTCCCTGTGCTGGGGAGGACTCCAAGGGTGAGGGGAGGGACAGGCCGGCTTTGCGAGGTCCCTTCCCCACCTGCCAGGCAGCCCTCTTGGCCTGGAGGCTGCAGACTCGGAGCCCCAGGCAGCAGGCGGCCCTGCAGCCCACCCTCACTGCCGATGCTCTTCAGTCAGGACCCCCGGCCTCCCGACTGTCACCCTGGCCTGGCGGGTGTCAGGCACCCGCAAGCTCTCTGACCCTGCCCTGAGCCTCGCCCGAGGGCTGACGTCTCGCTGGTGAGGTCACAGCTCACATCACTCTGGGGACCTGGCTGACGTCCCACCCTGCTCCGCCTGCGATAAGGCTCCCTAGCCATGCTAGCCGGTGACTCAGCGGCCGGGTGTTGCCGAGCTGGGCTGGGTGGAGGGCTCCCTCCTCCCGGCTGCATCCCGTGTCCCTGAGGCAGCAGGGCACCGGGAGCAGGTGTCAGGAGGCAGGTGAACCAGGAGCCAGGCCTCTGGGGACCCAGGCAGGGAGACTGAGGCAGAAGGAAGCCAGGCACTGAGCAGCGAGCCCCAGAGTGGAGCAGCAGCCTGGCCCTGTGTGGGTGTGGCCCGCCAGGAGCGGTGTGCAGGTGCCATGGGGACCTCAGACATTGTCTCAGCCCCAAGTGCTGCACGGCCCAACTCAAACCATCCTTAGGAAGACAGCACTTGCTGTGCCCCTTCCGAAAGTCTGTCCCAGGTGTGTCAGCTTCAGGTCTGGCTTGATCTGGGCTCTCAGCGTCCTCTGCCCATCTGAGCCGTGCTCCTGGGGGTGAACCCAGATGCTCCACCCTCCACGGGGCATCTCTGCAGCCCCTGCAGGGGGCAGTGAGTAGCACTAGCCGTGATGTGACTGGCCACATGGCAGTGGCCTCCACTCCAGCTTGGTCACCTCTGGGACCTAGCAGATAGGAGCTGCATGGTGACCAAGATTGGGAGCCAGGGTGTCCCCCATGGCCTCTGGGCACACCCTAGTGACGGGGAGCTCACTACCAAGACCACCCCTCCGGTGGCTGGACCCGCACGCTTCCTGGAGCCACCTCTGCCCCCTCCACTCCTGTCCCGAGGGCTCAGAGGACCGGCCGCTTCTCTCACCTGTGGGAGGGCGGGTGACCCCTGCCCCAGCTCCCAATTCTTAGCTCCCAAGGAGACCTTTCGCCTCCGTTTCCTGCCTGGTGAAAACATGAAAAGACTAAGACTTTTTCCTAAGGTTCCTAAATATCAGTGGGTGCAGACGGCAGGACTCTAGGGGAGACTCGAGCCCCACCCTGGAAGCCCCTCCTGGGTGGAGGTGGGCCTGGCCTAATGAGGCGAGAGTCCTTCAGAAGGCCCAGTCCTTCCCCAGGATAGAGGCAAGCGTGAGAGGCTGGAAGGCTGGCGCTCAGGGCCGTGGGTCAAGGCTCGGACTCACCATTGGCTGGTGACCAAGAGTTTCACATTCTGCCCGGCTCCCCTGTGTCCCACGCCCATTTCACAGCAGGGAAAGCTAGGAGGACGTGTGCCGAGCCCTGTCTGTCATGGGCACGGACAGTGGCACAGAGGCCCAGCCCTGGCACCCTGGGCACCCACCGGGGCCTTGGGAGGGAGCCCTGCACACAGGCCCCAGGCTGGGGTCCCTGTCCTGCCAGCTTCAGGGTGGCCCTGGCCCAGATCCTAAGTGCTCTTGTTCACCGCTCTCCCTCAGTTTCCTCCTCTTTATGATTGGTTGGTTGGTACCGGGGATCGAACTCGGAACCTTGTGCTTACAAGGCAGGCAGCGGAACCACTGAGCTACATTCCGGGCCCCTTGGCTGGGTGGTTTTTAGACAGAGTCTCGCTATGTGGCCCAGGGCATCTCCAGCTCAGGTGTGTCCACAGCTCTGCAGCCTTCGCCCGGTGTACTTCAGCCTGTCTCCTCCCGCCCCCAGAGAAGCCCTGTACCTCAGAGCCATAACCGCATTCCCCCTTCTCCACCCCCCACCAACCTCCTGTGGTCTCTGTGCCCTGACTGCTGATTCCAGGCATTGCATATGAATGGAGTCACGGAGTCCGTGGTCTTTGGTGTCTGGTCTTTTTCCAGGTTCATGCATGTTTAGGAGGAATCAGTAACCCATTCCTTTTCGTGGCTGAGTAATATTCCACTGCGTGGGTACACCATATTTGCCTATGTGTTCATCATGTGGACATTCGGGTTGTTTCCACCTTTTGGCTGTTAGGAATGATGCTGCGGTGGGCGTTGTGTGCAAGTTGTGTGTTTCAACATGTGTTTTTAGTTGTCCTGAGTACATACTTTGGAGTGGAATTGCTGGGTCCTATGGTGACTGTGTGGAACCACTGAAGAAGCGGTCAGCTGTTTTCCACAGTGGCTGTGACATTTGCATCTCCACTAGCAACGCACGGGCCTCTTACTTCCTCCCACCCTCACTGACTCTTGTTATTTTCCACTTTAAAGAGCACTGCCCTTACCCTCCTAGTAGCTGGGCCGTGGTCTCCTGCTGGAGCACTGGCTGGCACTTCCTGATGGCTGACACTGTCGGGCACCTTCTCTGTACTTATTGGCCATCTGTGGATCTGTGTTGAAGAAATGTTTGTTGAGATCTTTTGTCCCTTTTCCAATTGGTTATCTGCATTTTGTTATTGAGTTGAAAGAGCTCTTTATATGTGCTGGATAAAAGTCCTGGACAGGTATATGAACTAGAAATAACTTTTTGCACTGTATGGGTTTCTTTCTGAAGCAGAAATGTTTCAGTTTGGTGGAGTCCGACTCACTGGTCTATTTTTCGTTACTTCTGTTTGTCGTCCTGTCTAAGCAGGGCTGACCCAATGCTTTTCTTCTAGGTGTTTTGTAGCTTTCGCTCTTCCCCTTGCCCCACGATGCACTATGGGTGTCTGAGTGTGGTGGGAGGTAGGGTCCAGTACCATGCACTTGTACATGGCCATCTGGCTGTCCCGGCCCACGTGGTCCCCTCCATGGCACTCTCCGTACCCTCCCTGTCTCCAACCCCAGCTTACGGTGCAGTGTCCACCTCCAGCCTGCTCCCCATCCCATAGTCCTGGCTTCCCTTCCTGGAGAGGCCAGCCTGGCCCTGGGCCTCTGCCCATTGGTTATCAGAGGACTTCTCCCCACCTCCCCATCACAGCTGGTCCTTCTAGCTCTGTCTCTGAGCCCTCTCCTCCCCGCCCTCTGTGTCCCGATCACCCGGCCTGGGTCCCGGGACCTTCCAGGAGCCACCGTGGTCACCAAATGC